AGATGTTCTGGAAATCTTACTCGTCTTCCAGAACGCGTTCTTTTAGGTTTACCTATCGTTGTTGACGAAGTATCAAGTTGTGTGTCGGTTGTCGTGTAGGGTACTACGAGTGTAGTAGCTGTGTCGTTTGCTTGTATCGAAGGAAAATCGACGTAGCTAGGGTTTCCTTCTAAGTACGCTGCTTTGAGTCGATCGATACTGATGCTATCGTTCGTACCGTTCTTATCGACTACATAGTACTTAGGTTCGCGTTGAAGAACTTTGAAGGGTCCTTCGTATGCTGATTCGAGGGGTCGTCGATGTGAGTCTCGACGAACGAAGACGTGTGTACTATGTCGTAATTCGGGTTGAACAAAAACATCAGTTGATTGAGGTCGAGTGTGAGCAGGTTTAACTGAACGCATAGCGTTTTTAAGCCTACTCGTGTAAGAGTTTAGATCCATGTTCAATGAAGAAGCTGAAGGATCCATGAATTCTTCTGGAAGTCGAAGTGTCGTTCCGTAAACGAGTTGAAATGCCGTGTATCCAATGTCAGCTTTCACTGCATTGCGGGTACCTAGCAAGACGAGTGGAAGAGCGTCTGTCCACTGTGAAACGTTTGAAGCTGATAATGAAGCTTTTAGTTGTCGATGAAAACGTTCTACCAACCCGTTTGCTTGTGGGTGGTAGGTGGTCGTTCGGAAGCGCGTGATTCCTAATAGTGAGGTGAGACAACGGAAAAGTCCAGATTCGAATTGGCGTCCGTGGTCTGTAGTGATTGTGGAAGGGCAGCCGAAATTTGCTACCCATCGTTCGACGAAAGCGCGGGCCACGGTTTCAGCAGTGATGTCCTTAATCGGTACTGCTTCTGGCCATCGAGTGAAACGGACTACGCAAGTTAGGAGATATGAGTATCCATTCGAGCCGGATAAGGGTCCTACCAAATCTAGATGGACGTGGTCGAAACGAGCGTCAGGGGTTTTGAAAGAACCTAAGGGACATTTGTTGTGTCTGATTACCTTAGATTTCTGACAGCTTACACAGGAGCGTGCCCACTCCCTCACGTCTTTATTCATGCCAGGCCAACAAAAGCGTTCGGCTATGAGTTTGACGGTTGCACGAGCACCTGGATGAGAAAGATTGTGCAAACGTATTGAAGACGTTGCGTCGATAATGTTTTGGTACTATTGGACGATCCCTACCTGTAGATGTGTCACAGAGTAAGGTTTCCTTACCTGTTCCCATCTGCTTAATACTTAGTTTTAGAGTTGTCGAGGATAACTCACGCTGAAGATCAATGTCTTCTTTTTGAAGCTGAGCGAGTTTAAGAAGGTCGATTCCTTGGAAACTGTTCAAGGAATTTATTCGAGACAAGGCGTCTGCGACTACATTGTTAGCTCCACAAATATGTTGTATGTCTGAAGTAAACTGCGAAATGTAGTCGAGTTGTCGAGACTCTCGCGGTGAGTACTTGTCTGAAGATGAACTTAAGGAGAAGGTAAGAGGTTTGTGATCGGTAAAAAGCGTGAATTCTCTTCCTTCGATGGAATGTTGGAAATGCCGTACAGCACAATACATAGCTAGGAGTTCCCTACCGAACGTGCTGTACCTAGATTCCGCGTCTAGCAACCGTCTCGAGAAAAATCTTAAGGGTTGCCACAAGTTGTTAACCCATTGTTGTAAGACTCCTCCGATTGCTGAGTCGGATGCGTCTACGGCGATACTAATGGGCGCTTGAGTGTCCTGATGAGCAAGCAAGGTTGCTTTAGCGATGTGTTTCTTAACTGTGGAAAATGCTTTACGGGCTATGTCGTCTAAACTGATTGATTTCGCATTTCCACGAAGCTGATCGGTTAACGGTTTCATAAGGGATGCGCATTTGGGTATGAACCGTCTATAGAAACTTACAAGTCCGTTGAAAGTTTGTAAGTGCTTGATCGTGGTCGGTTATGGGTAATCCAGAATGGCCGCCACTTTGCTCCTAAGGGGTCGGATGCCTTGGGCATCAATGGTGTGTCCTAGGAAGTCTAAGTAGTTTGTTCCGATTTGGCATTTCTGTATGTTGACAGTAATGCCATGCCTTTGGAGTCGATCGAAAACAATGTCCAGATGCTTGAGATGAGATTCTTTGTCCGGACTTGCTATTAGACAGTCATCAACATACGCATGTACGAAGTTGAGACCTCGGAAGACGTCGTCTATAAACCTTTGGAAGGTTTGAGCCGCGTTTCTTAAACCAAAAGGCATTCTCAAGAATTCCTAAAGACCGAAAGGAGTGATGATGGCGGTTTTAGGAATGTCGTCAGGTGCCATCGTTATTTGGTTATAAGCCTTAACCAAGTCGATTTTTGAAAAGACAGTTGTACCTGTCAAATTGTATCTGTCAAATCGTGAATATGAGGCAGCGGGTAACGATCGGGAATGGTTTTAGCATTCAGACGCCGATAATCACCAGTTGGCTGCTGTCCTTTTAAGGGACCATGTGCAATGGGGATGACCATGGACTATTCGATGGTCGAATTATCCCTAGGTCCATCATGTGGTCGAATTCGTTTTTAGCTAACCCAAGCTTCTCGGGAGCGAGTCTTTGAGCTTTCGAAAATACAGGTGGTCCTGTAGTCGAGATGTGATGTGTAACATTGCTGGTTACACAAGGCAATTTCGATTTAGATTGGTATATCCCGGGGTATTTGTCGAGTACTGATTGGTACAATGGGTCTATGGTGTGTTTAATCGTGACTGGGGATAACCTGCAACCAGAACAAGGAGTTACGCAAACGGACAACTTAGTGTTTCCGTCTATTAACCTTCGTGAGCGTGTGTCGATGAGTAGATTGTGGTGTTGTAACAGGTCTATACCAATGATTGGCGTAGAGACATCTGCAACCACGAAAATCCAGTGTATGGGTTTGCGTAAACCCACGTTAAGGTAGACGTACCTTTTACCGTAAGTAGCGGTCGGCTTTCCGTTTGCCGCCTGTAAACTTAAAACAGACTCGCGAAGTCTGTCGTCGGGATTTGCTGGAAGAACGCTAACTTCTGCGCCAGTGTCGACGAGGTGGCGAACTTTCGTGGTCACATCCGTGACATATAAGAGGCGGCTGTATTCGCCGGCTACGGTTGCCGTTAACGCGTGCCGGCTGGGAAGTTTCCCGAAATCTTATTCGTGTCAGTCGATTTTGAAGTCGGATAATTGCAAGGTTTCCTGCAATTTCTGGAAAACTTACCGTACTGGTTATGATACCAGCACCAGTCTGGATTGTCTGTCTCTCGTGGTCGAGAGCCAGATCGCTTACGTGAAACGCTTCTACGCGGGGTTTTTGACCGACTACGGTCATTGCGAACTCTAAGATATCTTGTAAGCGTGTGACATAGTTCGGCCATGTCGGTCGAGGTCGATTGGGGTTTTTCTTTGACGGAAAAACCTCGGCCTTAGAAGATCTAGTGATTTCCAAGATTCGATCGGCAGATGCAGCTAGTTCATCTATGGCATTGTTTTGAAATGAAACAAGCACTGCCTGCACCTGTTGAGGGAGTTTAGACAAGAAAAGTTGTCTAAATAGGCCATCATCGAAAGTTCGTTGGCCGATGACTTCTCTCATTCTAAGCAACCTGTCCGTCGCAGAACCATGTTGCAAGTCGATATTTTTAAGGAGCTGGTCTAACCGTTGTCGATCAGTTAGGTCTCCTCGTTTTAAAATCGATAGCTTAAGCGTTTCGCAAGGTTCGGGAACATCACTAGTAAACATACTAGGTGTTACGTACCTGTTAAACTCGCGCGGTAACGCCTTAACAACCGCGAGGAAACGTGTGCGCGAGTCCGTGATTCCGTGCGTGCAAAAATCGGCTTCTGCATAGCAGAACCAGGACTCGATATTGTCGGGCCAAGATGGCGCTAACTGAATCGAAATAGGGGGAATAGACTTAAACTTAAGAACCTTAGGAGAGTGTTCCGTCATAGTAATATAGATAACGAAAAATGTCTAAAATATATCCGAGAAAAAAAATTCTCGAAAAAAAGTATATCACAATATATAAAATTCAAATAAAGAATAACAATGAATAATAATATTCCAAAATGGAACAGACTCACAGTATATTGACTTGGTGTACCAGACCACGTCGGTCTCACCACTGAGGATACCACGGATATTCTAGTTTGGCAACTAGCAACCAGTAGTATCTTCTATAATCGTTGACTTGGTGTACCAGATCACGTCCGGTTCACCAATGAGGATGCAACGGATGTTCAAATTTTACAACTAGTTACCAGTAGCACCTTCTATGTTCGATCGTTCCCAGTCAGATAGAAATCAGAAGTCAGACGAGAAGAGGCAAGAAAGATATATTTGATTCGTTACCAATATATCGAGGACCTTTTCTATGAGCTGGCTAATGAAACGTAGGAGCTGTGTCCCACGCCGAGTTGAAACGTGATCTGGTGCGGATGCATGACCGAAAGCCTTCAGCTAAACAAGTCCACTTAAACAACGTGGTCAGCATCCAATGTCGAACACTTAATGAACTATTGATTTTGGGGAATTATTTACAGCTACAAAGGAATCAGGGAGGAGCTTAGGAAGTGGATAGAACACACATTGAGGAAGTCACCCAACTGCATCACAAGGCAATTTCTCGCTTCGTACCCTCAAGGCCAAAGGAGGAGTGGAAGACCAAAGAACACATTACGCCGAGAACTGGAAACATATACAGGAAGAATGAATAATAACTGGATAGAACTAGAAAGGAAGGCCCAGAACAGAGCGGTTGGGAGAGTTCTGGTTGGCGGCCTATGCTCCATTGGGGATGACAGGCGTAAGTAAGTAAGTAAGTAGTCTTCATGAGAAATTAAACGATCAACAGTATAAAATATACTCAGAGAAAAATTTCCACTGTCGTCTCATCTATTTAGGAGTGTACTTCGACCCAATGGCAGTCCATCGATGCTAGACACAAGAAAATGTCTAGCGAAAGCTCCGTCCATTTCATTATTCACAATCTGGAACTATTTGTGAAGGTCATTTATTGCGCTCAAAATGGGTTTACGCTACATCAAGGCTACTTTCAAGCTGTAAATTTGTAACTTGTTTGAAATCATACACTGTCATCTAGTTTCGACTATCAGACTGTTTGAATCTAACTCTCGTGTTATTCAGGATTGTTTTCAATCAGTTACGTTAGATGTAGTCTCATTCCATGTGGTCACTGAGTCGATGACTCACTTTCTCCTATTATTTTCTGTTGTAGATAGTCTAACATACTGCTCCTCAAACTCTCCAAGTACACAAGGTATCTTCCAGCTATACTCACACGTACTAAAAGCTGAACGTGACAACATAAATCAAGGCTAGGTTTCATCGAGGTTACATGTAAGTAATCTTGAATGTTTTTTTGCAGTGGATTAAAAGTACTCTTCTTTTGTAGTTTTCAGTCTCAAAATTCGATAAATTATTTTCGCGTGAAAGTATTGGTATTTTGCTAAAGTCAGTCATCAATGATCAGATTGTACTGGGAAGCCTATTCCTAAGATTAATGATAGGGAAGTGTACTAGATTTATATCTATTGATACATCACATTTTCTCAAATGGGGTCGCAAAGGTTCTGTGAATATTTTCTGAAGTGAAGACTCAAAGGAGTCACTACCATATAACCCACCTAAACTTTAAGTTATTTACTATTTAAACACATAAATATTGGTACAAAGAGGCACCAGATACATATGCACCATACAAATCTTATTTGATTTGTGTGAGGGCTGTGATACTGCCCGGATGCCCAAACCAAAGCAGTTGGTTTTCTTAGGGGGCCACACCCGGAGCCTTTGACCTAAAAATATTATAAGACAGTGGGGCACCGTAAGGAGATGCAATCCCATGGTAATCGGTGACCACCGATTGATTCATACACCATCTGTTCCCTCAGGATAATGGAGTCCATGTGCACCATTGGTTTGGAATCAGGGTTTTCCAACTCCCCTAGGTGAACCTTCCGTGTCCACCAACCCGATTAAAGCGCCGGACATTCGCTTTTCGTCCTCTGAATTTCGTGAACAAAACCCCAGCCATGAGAAGGCAGTGAGTAGGACTTCCCTGGCAGAGGCTATATACGCGTGGCCTTATGAGAGCATTTCGAGAGGGAGAGCGGACTCTCCTCACTCTCGACCGTACCAGAGCATTGCCTATACCTTAGATTATAATAGTTACATTAGCGGTGCGACCATAATTTATGGATGATCTTTGAGTGACACTAAATTGACCGTAAGGATATCCACCAACTACCAGATCTAAATGAGGGTTTTAAACAAGTGTGAGGAATTATAATTAGGATTTATAGTTAATGGTTAGGGTTAGTAATTAGATTTAGGGTTCTCATCACTAACTGATATCGGCTAAAATGGCAGAACGTTATGTAGTCAAATGAATTGTCGAACTTCGCATCAAAATCCAAGACCTGTTATCGTACATATGATCGGTTCGTCCATAAATTGTAGTTTCGCCGCATTAGCTGTACAAGTTAACTACTCTGGTTTCTAGTGTTGGTTATTGTTAGTAATCTGTGCGCAATATTGTTGACGTAATAGTACTGATTAGAATACATTCATCCTTATTAACATAGCCGTTATGAATTTTAATATCAGTTCTATTTAGTCGCCTTTTGTTTTCCAGCTACTGCTTGTCCCAGTCCAGAAGAAGCTTTCTCTAAACATACCGTCTATATGAAGTCAGATGAAAGATGTCTTATTTTTAAACATTTCCCACCTGAAATAGCTGAAGATGAGTGTGTTACGTTCTTAAAATCCTTGGGGGCAACCACGGCTCAATATTTCGGATGTTCCGGTTCTCTCAAATATGTAATGTATTCCCTTTATCTGCTTCATTCTAATCCAGACTTAGTGCGCCTACGCGGAGTTCGCATCCGAACAGCATGCTTGGAATATCATTAAAAATCTTCATCAAAAGAAAATATTGGATCGGCGTCTTTCTGTTGAATTTTTCCAGTCTGTAGAAGGGTAAAAACGACATTCTCTAAATCTTCTTTAGATTATCTTCAGTTAATATCCAAAAGACTGATCCAGACAAATCCAAAGAAGAATGTCTTCCCGTAACCACAAATGCTTTTTCTGCTATGTGGGACACATCTTTCGAAGTTTCTTCACGAATGTACTATGAATATCCTGTTGTATCCATTGACGTACTGACAAACATTGTGCGATCGTTGGCTTCTTGTCCAGCATTTTATAATCAGGTAGGCAAAAATCGCGAATTCGCTGAAATATATATCAAATTTATTTCCCGTTTGCTACCTAACTATGAGATGCATTATAAACTAATAGGTATAACGTTTTCTGATGCTGGTAATTTATTAAATCGTATGTCTTAAAACTTTTTCCAAGTTCAGATGTCCTTTTTTAACCTCTTCTCAAGGCGCATGTGATAAATTTATTCTGAATTGATATTTTTTTCGCGTCATCAACCAGAACTAATCATTTCTAATATGAGTTGTTTCATTAAACATCCCAAAGTACTCCAGAAGCCTTTAATCGTAGAACATTAAACTTAAACTAGGCTTGAACATTTAATACTGTTCTGTGATCTAGATGGTTTAGTTATCGCTCTGAACAGCAACATCGACCTACTTCCTGTAAACTCGCTCATGATGTTATCCAGAATGATACTAAACCCTCTGGATTTAAATCATCTAGCTCAAAGAACATCCCACCACCGAAGCTAGGAATCTTTATTTTAAGAACTAAACATTTTTTCTCATTACTTCTGTTTAGTATTTCTAAAACACCTTGGGAACTTTCATGTAGTCCCTCTATTTGTGTGTTGTTTACTAAGATTATCTCAGTCGGTCATATTATATGATTGTAGGATCACAATCAAAACAACGATTAACAAAATACGTCTTAAAAGCGAATCATATACTATGTTCACCGCTTAGTCGAATGACTATATCATATGTATTCGCGATTCTTGTTTCTTTGTCGACTAACAGCAATTATTATAAAATGACTGACTTCACTTAAAGCCTACTCAATCTCTGGCTTATGCTGTACATAATATGTGGCCTAAATGCGTAAGTGAATGTTTGGTCAGTCTTGGAGTTGACGGTTTGATCATTGCAATGTGCTATTTTAATTAATCTGTTTAACTGTTACAGCGCATTTTTTAAGCTATGTTGGCGAGTTTGGGAGCTCCTTAATGCTTATAAATATATATATGTGGAACGTTAAATTGTGTCTTTATCCTAATTTGGGCTGACTAAACCCATTCACTGTTGGATTTTTTCACAGTAGCACTCTTCTGTTAATAGTCATAAAGTCCTAAAAAGTGGCAATTTAGCACACTAATTTATGTTGGAACCTTGATTATACATGCAATACACAAAAATCATCGACTGTTGTCAAGATGTTTATAGAGAGAAACATTTCTATTCACCAGTGAATAGCTGTTTCGCGGTGTCGTCCAGGAAACTAATCAAAATTATCTGACAGTTACTCATTACTATTCGCATTAAACAACCTGTGGTAATATTTACACATTTTTCTGCAGGTACTCCACATAATGAACAAACTTCATCTACCACCACCATTTGAAGATCCCGAACAATTTCCTGGGGATTATCTAGTCATTTCTGCTTCAGATTATGCGAAAATGCAAACACTAATAGATAATATCCAGCGCTTGTCAAAAGAGGAAAATAATGATTCAGGTTCAGTTTCAGAAGAAATGGATTTATCTAGTGGACCGGAGTCTGAACTCGCTTCTGGTAAAGTTTTGGTTTTACTTTATGTTCCTTTCAGACGATGAAAAACAAGCAACTTCTTGTGCGCAAAAAAGTATCTCAGTGAGAAGGCGTTTCAAAGTCCGCAAAAAAACCCCTACTGTATTATCTAGTCGTCTTCCTAGGACTTCCAAACGTAAAAACGTTGATGTTGCCGATTTATTCGAACCACATCAAGCTGCCAAAAAGCTTAACTTGCCAAAGATTCTTAACGTCAATTCTCAACGTGATCATAGTAATTCACGTGATGAATCTGAAGGTGGGTTCGGACTTATCCATACAGAGACTAAAATAAAGAGACGGCATTTTCTTGACGAAACAACCCAGAATTTTCAAGAAAACCATGCGTCAATCTTTTCTAATTTCCAGCTCCGTAAAGGTAAGGAACTTTTTATGAAGTATTGTCATGGTATTAGCTAGGTAAATCCCAGAGTTTGATGCATAATATTTATACTTACTTTAGTTTCAGATATCCGTCTATCAATTAAGGGACGAGTATACTGCGCAGCAGTTCGTTCTCTTCTACTTTACGGCTGTGAAACATGGCCATTAAGAGTAGAAGATACTCGTAGGTTACTAGTATTTGACCACAGATGCCTTAGAAATATTGCTCGCATCTGCTGGGATCACCGGGTAAGTAATAGTGAGGTTAGACGCAGGGTATTAGGGAACGATGGTAAATCAGTTGATGAGGTTGCGAATCTTCATCGACTGAGATGGTTGGGCCATGTGTTACATATGCCTGAACACCGATTACCACGACGCGTTATGATGACTAGTACTGGGGATTGTTGGAAGAGAGTTAGGGGCGGCCAAACCAAAACATGGCGTCAGTGTTTGAAGTCACTAACTTCTAGTCTGAGCCATGTTGGCAGATGCAGACTATCTGGTTGGGGTCCGCGTGACTGTCGTAACCAGTGGTTGGAGACTCTAGGTGACATGGCTCAGAATCAATCACAATGGCGTCGGTGTATACACTCTTTATCTTCCTTTAAACTTTGAGATTAAAATTGCTTCATAACTTTCTCCCTTCCTATACTATATCCTTATTTACAATCTATCTTTTATATACTACCACCACTAAATTAACTATTTCTATGAATCCGGTGTTCATCTTGTTGTGCTAATGAGGTATGACAACTTGGACCGATGCATAAATGTGCCTGGTCCTACGTTGTAGCTGACTGACTGACTGAGTTTCAGATGTTTGGATATGCAATGTGGAATGACTAAATCCTCAAATGATGTGAGATAGGACAAGATTATGTTCTACATTACTTATGTGTAACTAATTGTTAGTGGGACATAGATTGGATTAAAGCATGTTTCATGCATGATGGTGTTGCTGCGCGCTGATTGGCTAATTCTAAACTAATCAGCCCGGGCATATTATTGGAGAAAAATCCATAAGCTTCTTATGTATATACTATAAATATATGAACGTTATTCAAATCAGTGATTGCTGTTCATTTACGATTGTTATTTTGAATACAATTTCATTCCTGTTCAAAGTGTTCTAATTTTGGGGTCTTGTCGAGTGTCATTGTATAAGAATACTAAGCAATAATAATAGCTGGGTCGTTTATATAGCAAAACACAATTATAACAGTGGCGACGGGGAAAAAGGAAAATTCATTCAAAATGCCTATATCAGATGACCAGCTCAGCCGAATACTACAACAACAGCAAGCACAACTTGATGCACAAATGCGGTTGTTGGAGACTCTGACGCAACAGTTTAGCATCCAAAACTCGAGTTCACATGCTGTTTCAAGTATTTCTTGTGATGCAGTTGCTAGCAGCATCCCAGAATTCAAATATGACCCCGAAAGTGGAAATACCTTTCTCACGTGGTTCAAGCGTTGGGAAGATACATTTAGAATAGAATTCTGTCAACAAGATGACGCATGGAAGACTCGGTTGTTGATGCGTAAGTTGGGAAGCAATGAACATGCACGTTATGCTGATCATATATTGCCAAAGTTACCTCGAGAGCTCAGTTTTGAGGAGACAGTAACGCAGTTGTCAGAGATATTCGGCGAATCTTCCTCATTGCTTAGTATTCGATATCAGTGTCTGAATTTGGTGAAACGTGAAGCCGATGAATATGGTGCTCTAGCAGACGTCGTCAACAGAGAGTGTGAACGGTTCAAGTTACGCTCGTTGACAGATCAATTTAAATGCCTTATATTCATCAAAGCTCTGCAGTCACCACAAGATGCTGAAGTTAGAACCAGACTTCTAACTCGTTTGGATCAAGACCCAAACGTCACACTCAGGACATTGACAGATGAGTGTAAACGACTACAAAACATCAGACACGACAATCAGTTAATTGAACAGGTAAATTCTAATTTAACCTGCAGTAGTGTAAATGCTGACTAGGTTAAAAAGTCAGAAGCCAAATAAAACTCATAACAAACCAACGGATGCCTGTTGGTTATGCGGCGATTGGCATTATGTACGGTTCTGTCCATTTAAGAAGCATAAATGTCAGGTGTGCAACAGACGTGGACATAAAGAAGGCCATTGTCCACCGAATCGTACGTCCCAGCCCAAGAAGAAGTATAAACGTCTTTCACGTGTGGTGAAATCAGCTGAGTCTAAATCTCTTTCTCTGGTAGCAGCTTTTCAAACAGACTATGACATTCGGAGAAAGTATGTTACGATCCAGATTAATGGTATAGCGGCTCGTCTTCAAATTGACACAGCATCCGATATTACTCTAGTGTCTAGAGAAACGTTTAACCTGCTTGAGAAACTGCCAATGAAGTCATCCAAGAAAACGGCTAAAAACGCATCTGGAGGTGTACTGAAACTAATTGGTGAATTACAGTATGAATTTTCCTTCAATGGAAATAGCTGTAAAGGGGTATGTTATCTAACACAACGACCAAACCTTGATCTACTTGGTCTAGATATGTTAGAAAAACTTGGAATATACCCATCAACAGCGTTTGTAATGTGTCTTGTCTATCATTTGACACCACTTCACATGCAAAAAAGACAGATGAAAAGAATCCAGAAATACGGAGTGTAGTAGCAGCGGCAATCCAAAACACTCCAGTGTCGTCAGATGAAGTCAGAAAAGAGACTCTTCGAGACCCTGTTCTACAAGAGATTGAAAAGTTCCACCTAGAAGGGTGGCCCTCGAAGATCAGTTCAACAGAGCTTCAGCAGTTTTACCAGCGCAGACTATCTCTTTCAATCATCGACGATTGTTTCATGTTTGCTGAACGTGTCATAATTCCGAAGAAGTTGCAACCAGCAGTCCTCGAACAGCTACATGCAGGACATCCCGGAATAAACCGCATGAAAGCTCTAGCACGAAGTTATGTGTACTGGCCACAATTAGATACTCAACTCGAGCAGCTATCCCGTTCGTGTACAAAATGTGCATTGGCAGCAAAAGCACCACGAAAAGCAGAGTTGCAATCATGGCCGATACCACAGTCACCGTGGCAGCGTATACATTTAGACTTCGCTGATCCATTTCATGGACAAACTTACCTTCTGGTAGTGGACGCATACAGCAAGTGGTCGGAAATTTTCATCATGGAACATCCAACAGCAAGCTGCACAGTTAGAAAACTGCGGCAATTATTCAGTCGTTTCGAGGTTCCAGAACAAATAGTCAGCGACAACGGCACACAGTTGACATCATCTATCTTTTCAGAATTTTGTCAGCAGAACGGAATCAGGCATATCCGAACACCTCCATTCCATCCGCAATCTAATGACCAGGTAGAACGTTTTGTTGGTACGTTCAAAAATGCTCTAAAGAATCAAGAGGGGAGGGGGACACCGAAAAGATCTTAGAGAGGTTCTTGTTTATACGCCGTTTGACACCGAACCCTCAGACAACAAATGGAGTCTCCCCAGCGGAAGCGTTACTTGGCAGAAAAATACGTACACATTTTGACAGCATTCGTCCGACTCCAGCTCTTAAGCCGCAACGAAATGTGACGATGGAGAAACAGTACAATAGTGATCATGGGACACGAAAACGATTGTTCAGTGTGGGTCAAAAGGTACTTGCTATGGACTATCGAAGAAAACATCCTACATGGATAGCTGGTCGGATCGTGCAAAAGAAAGGAAATGTGGTTTATGAGGTGTCGGCTCAGAGGTTTGGATACGTCATGCTAACCAACTGAAAGTATCTTCGATAGCCAGCAGCGAGAATCGACATCGAAGACCTCTTGACGTTCTGCTAGACACCTTTGAGATCAAAACACCTGAAACAGACAGGACAGTCAAGGTGCAAACGAAGGATGATACAACGTCCTTATTACCTAGAAGGTGGACTAACCGGAAGCACAAACCAGTAAAGCGGTTGCAGTTGGACCTTAGCACCAGATCCTACGAATCTGCTCAAGGGGGAGGTGTTAGTGGGACATAGATTGGATTAAAGCATGTTTCATGCATGATGGTGTTGCTGCGCGCTGATTGGCTAATTCTAAACTAATCAGCCCGGGCATATTATTGGAGAAAAATCCATAAGCTTCTTATGTATATACTATAAATATATGAACGTTATTCAAATCAGTGATTGCTGTTCATTTACGATTGTTATTTTGAATACAATTTCATTCCTGTTCAAAGTGTTCTAATTTTGGGGTCTTGTCGAGTGTCATCGTATAAGAATACTAAGCAATAGGAATAGCTGAGTCGTTTATTAGCAAAATACAATTTTAACACTAATACAAAGCCGTAATGAGCATTGAGTTACACAAGTTAAAAAATGGTTTGAAATATGCAAAATACCTTATATATTTGGACAGAATTTATCCTTTGAATCTTATGGACGATTTGTTTTCATAAATTTTTCTATCCTGTTTATTTTCCTCCGCAGAACAATTTTCTGATGAAGAACATGAAAACTTGGAAGATTTGATTCCCTTACCATCACAACCACCGTTGAGTGGTGAAAATATGACAGATGTTACTGATAATAACCCGTCTAATTTCGTAACAGTACTGTCCCTTGATGAAATCATATCCAATCGCCTGAAAGATGAGGACCGCAGAAATTACCCAGTGTTTGCTAAATATGATACTGGAACTACCACCTCCCGTCTATATGTCAAAAATTTATCTCAAACGGTTACAGAAACCGATTTGTTTGCAATATTCGGGGTATTTTCAAATGGACCTGTGACTGACAGTAGTTGCAAACCAAGGGTTTCGTTGGACTCAACAGAGCGTTTTTCAATAAGACTTTTGACTGAAGGTCGAATGAAAGGTAAGTGCAGGATAATGTTATGCTCTATTCTACTTTCTAACCCCTTTTTGTATTGTGTCGAATTCTTTTGTAAGCTAACTATAGTTTTCATTTAGTTGTAATAAATTATATCAAGCGGAGTCGTTCTGGTTCAATTTATCTTATTTATTTGAACACATGAATATTGGTACACGGGAGCACCAGATATATATGCGCCACACGAAAAATTGTCATTTCATTTTAATTGTGAGGGCTATGACACTACCCAGGTTCCTAGACCAAGGCAAGTGGTCGTGGCACACCACTGGTTTGGAATCAGGGTTTTCCAACTCCCCTAGGTAGACTCTCCATGTCCACCAACCTGGTTAAAGCGCCGGACATTCACTTTTCGTCCTCTCAATTCCGTAAACAACACCCCCGCCACGAGAAAGCAGTGAGTAGGACTTCCCTGGCAGAGGCTGTATACGCGTGGTCGTGTGAGAGGATTTAGAGAGAGAGGGCGGGTCCCCCTGACTCTCGACCGTACTAGGGCATTTGGGGGGTAATGTAAGAAACCCAGTTGTTGTTATCGTCAGACTTCTGATGCGTGAGAGTCGCAAATAACAATATACCTGCATTTATTACTAGCAATTCTAAAAAATCAGTATACCATACTATCTTTCTCATCCCATTTCATAGTATATGCTTAAAATCTATTGTTTTTCTCAGGTCAGGCATTCATCGGCCTTGCATGTGAATCAACCGCCAAACAAGCGTTGGAAGCTACAAATGGTTATATGCTATATGATCGTCCGATGGTTGTTCAATTTGCTAGAGGAGCTAAAGCAAAACCAGATGAAAAAAGTTTATTATTATCGAATTAATGCTTTTGATAATTAATATCTTCAGGAGGATTCACATCCAAGGTTTGGAGCTCGCACATGATCATTTCGTTAGAAACCAAATAATTGTATATGTTCTATGTACAAATTGTAAATATAAAGACCAATAGCATATTTCATTGCAACAGTTTTATGATCTGTCACAAATACAGCGATTTCAGTGAATCCAATAAACGATATAGTTAGTGAGCAACGGAAGTATTGAGAAGCATCAATTTCCATTGCTTACTATTGATTGACGTTTCCATTCTTTTAACTACTATGAAAGTTTTTGGAGGTGACAAATAATCAATTTCAACCATGTTCATAGCCGTCCTGTTTGTCGAAGTATGATCATCCTGTTCACGATTATATATAAGAATGTAAAGGAGTTACTTTACGTTATTATATAGTCCATTTACAAATCAAAGATTTATGTACTTAGCTTTTAGTTACCCCTTTTTATACGAAGTTTCTAAACTTTAAAGACTAAATGTCCGTTACAGTTCCCAGTCTACTCACAGACAATATTCGATAATACAGTTCATTGATTATACTTAGTCAAACTATTATTGATTTTGAAGGTGTAGTAAGCGTGCAAGTTTCATATATCATTACCATAATTATAGATGAACAAAATTAAAATGTAAAAGTATATTTAGTTACGTGTTAAATACGTAAGATTAGAAACTATGAAAATAAAAAGAAAAAAACATTCTGTTTGATATGTAAGTGTGAAGGAATCCTTGTTCACAACAGTAGTGGATATTACAGTTAAAACATGAAAAGCTTTAGCTAGAATGAATTTGAGGTTGTCTAAAAAAAAGACTACGCACAATATTCGCTGTGTTACAAGAGTATGTACTAGTTTTATTGCCAGATGATGATGGCTGAGCCCGAACAATTTTACGGTTTGCTTCTGCCAATCTGAATAATTCATGGCTTCGTCGAACATGAGGAGGTTGAAATGAGTCGGAAGCCAAACGACGTCGTCGTGATAAGTTTATAACAGTTTGTCGTACAAAACTACTAAGACAACGCTGACTTAATACAGATCCATTCTGTAATGGACCAGCTTCAAATGTTCTTCCTTGAAGACGCATGATGCCAACTCTACATAATCCGGAACTTAAAGGATGAATATAAATTGTGACAGGGCAATCAAAATTCTTGCTAGTCATATTCTGGATGTTCATTCCAACTCCTGATTCACAGTGCATAGGTCCATCTTCCCATCGTTCGAGCCATACAACTGCCACTCGACCTCCAGTCGGGTCCGCCCCAACTTCCCCCATACCTACTACACTTTGACTTGTCCCACGAGTGATGTTAGCTGGTGTGATAATTAAACAAGATATAATATTATTATTATTATAAAGGATGGGGAATTTTAATCAGTATCAAGGTTTTCTTTTTGAGAAATATAAATTACTTATTGAGTACGCATATGTCTAATTGCTCAAATATCCAATCTAAACAGTCTTTCAAAACTACCAAACAATTTCTTATATGATTGTTAATAAGTATTTAGAAATTCCAAAACGTTTGCTTTATCTATGAATATATGTAAAAGTTTCTATCATTTAAAATATGCTCATTTTAGAAACGAAAATGGTTGGTTCATGATCTTTCTACTTTGAGTACGTTATAGTCTAATATTTTCAATGGTTTATACATAAATCCTTATGACGTGAACTGCAATAGCACCGTTTTAACAAACACGATCTCACACACACTAAAAATCCAAAAAACCAGATTCACATCAAGTCAACTTGTAAAGGAAATTCTTATTGTTTGTCAACTGAAATATATTTACTAGAGAACCTTGATCCCTTTAGTGTTTGCCTTAATTGGGTGGAATACTCTTTTGAAAACAAACAGATACACTGTCCTCTTGTCATTTTTCTGTGTGAAGTAGTTTAGTCATGTGTAATATACTCTATATAGTCACTTTAATCAGTATTCATCAGAAGTAATTAGTTCCCTTTGATAGAACTGCTTACTTTTAAACTTGATGAAATATACCACCTTGTAAGATATTGGTCACTTTTAGAGATAGATAGATTTCCAATATGCATACAACACAAACCTACTTAATAGCAATCATCTTGAGCGTTTTAAACTATCGGATTTCCTAAAAGTAATAATGGTGAACCCAATGTGTTAGCTATCTCAAGAGATAAATCAGGTTCACACGTAAATTATGCATCTACGAATTCGAGTGCATTTCGTATGCTTTAGGAAGTACCGTTCGAGCAATGAAATATTCCATGTCGTTTGTACCAAACAGCTAAATGCAGTTATTACTGAACTAATTACAATTATTTTAATTTTAAACTTACTTATGATTTCGCTAGCAGTGCGATAACGTGTACTCTTTAATATACAATTTTGATCAGGATTCTCTTCGTTTCCATAAAATTGATTAGTGGGACAAATGCATGCTAATTCTGTTATTGCATCAGCATAATATATAATTGATTGAATACCATCTGGACAGTGGTCAGCATGTATATTTTTCGTCTGATTACAGTGACTCGTTACAAAGAGTCCATTTGATGTACGATAACTGGTTTGAAGGTTCCCAGTCCAACCTGGATGATCAGAAATATTTTTGATACAGCCGATACCACTTAAGAACTGATGGAATGCTTCAGGCAGCCTTGGCCAAATTTTCTGTTAAACAAATAAAAAGTCTACATACATGAGCAGAACTAGGTAGGGGGAAATCCAGAGTTAATGGTCAAACAGAGAAGAAATTATTCACAACTCTAAGTTACCAAAATTACTGAAAACGGTCTAAACATTTATGAAATGTAAAATATACTTTTGTGGAGTAAGTTATGTAGAAGTTATATATGTACAAAATTCAAAAACAAATGTCAATACTGTTCTACTGCATTACCGTTATCAGGCCAGAAACTTAATCAGAGAACGGTACAGTGGAGCGCGCTGATCAGTTCAATTTCAGCCAATCAGCGCTAAAGGATGATGTGAGAGAACTCCCAAATATTCCTGTGTAAAGTTTGTAAATACATCGACGTTCTATTACTTTGTTTTGTTCGGAATGTAACTTACGTTCCTGTCCAAGTCTTGTTTTAGTTTGACAACTGGTCGAGTAAACTGAAGCATCCAAGAATATTAGGCTTGAATAAGGAGACTTAGCAATAACAATAACATTGATTTGATCAAATCAAAAAGTTGGTATATATATGTATAATCATTGATATGCTTTTAGTAAATCTTTACTTTCTTGAATGATTATGCAATAACAATCTGTTATGCCCTGATTATTTCCTATTGCATCCCTATCGGTTTACATTGACCAATTTACTATTATCATAGTGCATCATATTCTTTGTTTTTCAAAATTTCCACACTAAATATTTACAAGACAGTCTTGGGAGTAAGGTTTGTTGATGCATTATAAGTTATTTTGGCAGAGATCTCATATTTTTTTCTCTCTACGTCGAGGTGTGAAAGTCGTAATTTTCAGTACAAGCATCAATGTAGTTTTACTGTACGAAGCTGAAACGAGGAGAACTACTACAACTACCATCAAAAGAGTACAGCCGTCTATAAACAATTGTCTACGCAAGATCATCAACAACGACCTACTGTGGAAGAGAACAAACCAGCTTCCAGCTGAGGAGGAAATTAAGAAAAGACACTGTAGATAGATAGGATACACATTTCGGAAATTATCAGACTGAATCGTAAGCCCTAACTCGTAATCCTGAAGGTGAAAGGAAAAGGCGTAAACCGGAGAACACATTGTGCTGGGAATTGGAGGCGGACATCGAAAGAATGAACAGCACTTAGCAAAAACTGAGAAGCAGAGCCCAGAAAAGTTAGTTCGAGATTGCCGGTCAGCGGTTTAAGCTCAATGAGGGATAACCAACGTAATAAATGAGCAACGTCGAGTTGTTAGATGTAGTTAAATAAGTTTACACCCGGTGTCCATACTGAAAAGTTCACGAACATTCGCATCATGTCATCTTGAAAATAAATTTAACAGAAACCAATTATGTACAACTACTCGTAGAGCACTAAAGTGAAACGTTTTGGGTTTTCGACGCAGTGGAAAATATGATTAGAGTTCAACAAAACCCACTGAAAAAAGACGACACAGTAAACTGTTTAAATAAAAGTATGGGATGAATCTTAGGTATTTAAAATCCCAATATCATATATTTTGTCAGGTGAATAAATGGAGACAGTTGGTTATTGGGTAAACATTATCATTTTCCAATGTTGAAGTCTTATTACCAATATTTATCGATCAAGTGATACTGTTATATACTAGTGAAGATTAAAGTACGGGTAATTTCTTGGACCTATGAATGGACTATTATTCTATATAGATTATTGTTGTATAGCTATTCAGTAATTAGATTTTGCATATCTATACTCATCTTACTATAAGCTTCATTTCGACCTATGAATTATTATTATATAATTTGCTGTTCCCAAATTATACTCAGTTTATTAATTACTGCCTCCCGCGTTCACAGCAACATTTGGGCTTGACCTTGTACAAATGTTATTTCCTATTTTATGGAGTGATGCGTTCTGTCTGTCTGTCTGGTATATAGACCAAGAATGCTTGAAAGAAATGATTCGCATAGTTGAAGCTAGTATTTGTGTTCTGGACTCAAGTGGACGGGCCAGGCGGACAAAGGACCGATAAGAACGCTCATATCGGTCGAACGTCCTTGGTTCGGCACAGTCCTAAGATTGGAAAAGTCGTATTTCGATTGGTGAATAAATCACGTAATAAAAAAGTCGGGCTTAAATTCACGATAGATGCTACTAAATGTTTGGAGTTATTTGGTGAAAAAAATTCAGAACTAAATCTCAAAGCTCGTGAAGTGGTTTTCTATTGAGTAAGAAATCAGATTTTACTAAGTTTTCAGTTAATTTTGATAAACGGAAATAAAAATGTAGTAATCTTACCATATTCGCAAGAATATCACCAACTTTTGACTGACCAGCAGCAACATAAAAAACGAAAAGCGTATCACCTGTCCTGGTTGGCATATGGTCTAAATTTGTTAATATATCAGCAAAGTCTGGATTTTCCACATCAAATGGAAATAAGGGCAGTAGTTCATCTTCAGTGCTATTCGACGGCAAAGTAGACGGAAA